CAGCGTGCGGCAACGGCGGCGCTGAGCAGCAACACAGAAATCTACCACGTGATCAGCAGCGGCTCCCGCAGGTGCCAACCACGAATTCATTTTGCATGGTAAATATAGCTCTAAAAATGTTTTTCTTCATTGTAAATCTTTTTTTTTTTTACATTCTTTTTACCATCTAGGCTGTTTAAAAAAAATATTTTTTTTCCTTTGCATTTGTTTTTTTAATATAGATGGAATATTAAGCTTTTGTCATTTGATTAAAAACATCAATGGTATTTTGTAAGCAAAACTTCATAACAAAAAACAGCATGTAAATGATAAATATGCGTTCTCATAAAAAAAACACCTAATTTAGTTTGAATTTTTTGTATTCACTGTGCCATCAAACAGATAGAGGCTATATGAAGGTAATAAACAGGCTTTGTACTTTCCCAGTTGCGACCGAAAATCACTGGTAAACATGCGCCAGTAACGAAAATAAAAAAAAAAAATTGGTTAAAACCGAAAAACACCGGTTTCAGGAACATTTTAGTGCTAAGCGATTACTATTTTGGCCAAAATGCCCATTCTAAACTTTCGTTGAGCATGCTTTGTCGCCAAGAATCATTAAAGTTTTCTTGCAATTCTCAAGTACCCTCGATGAATCTTGAATGTGAAAAAAAATAGCATCAGAATATCACAGTCTATCATACTATACACTAGCCGCAATTTTTTCAAAAATTGTGTGTAACTTAAAGGAGTGCTTTCCCTTTAGCACGCAGGTGCACTGCGGCGAAGCAGGATATGCAAAATCGTGATGCCTACAAAGTGTTTGTAGCTTCACTGCAGTACGCAGTGACAAGAGCACTCAACGACGCCAGCCATTCAGTCAGAACAGACAACGAGCATGAGAAATATTTCGAAACTTGCGAGTGCTGTTAATGACTGATACGGAGATCAAATCAAATATGATGTTATTTAAGAGAACATGCACGTGGAAAAAACATCTTTTTTATTATTTATGATCTGCTCTTTATAAATATATTGTGTTATATCTTATATAGCTTCTTTTTATATGCTCTGGATGCAATGTATATGCAGATAAAACCATGTTCTTGTGCACACATGGGGCACGGCAACACACTTAAAGGGGCGGGGCAACGACTTTCAGACTCTGGCCAATTGACTGCGGATATTAATCTGTGTCACTTTTAGAACGAAAAACAGAAAACCGTATTTCTTGCGAGCGCTAGTTTTTATGTAAAAAAATGAAACAAATTGAAGGTCAAAGTGCCTCTCAACTCTCCACGTTGCCTTTCGAGTGACGTGCTCTGGGGGATCACGTGGTTTCCCCTTGGGTTCTCTCTTCAGAGAACCCAGCTGCTTCCTCCGTGATTATAGACTCTTAAAGGGTTAGCATCGTCAAAAGTCGTGGCGAGCGATCGACACAAAAGACGGTTCGCCATGGGGGTGACGGCAAGTGTAGCAGCGGAGGGGGACAGGTTTTGTTCACTTCCGCGTATCCCCCAAAGTATGTCACACATCAGTTCTGTTAACCACCACAAGCAGCTGCAGATCAGCAAATATATTGTTTTCTTCTTTGCGATTATGCGCTGGAATAGCAGTTTTCCAAGGCAAGGTGACGCGTTTTTGGTCACTTGTGCTTGGATAAACACTATAAAAAATACAAACTGCCAATTCTTTCAACACTAGACTCAGTTGCACTGCCCCTTTCAAAGAGCCTAGTAAAATAAACTAATTCACTCTTTTCAAACGACTGAGTTAAACGAACAAAAAAAATAATGCGTGCAAAACTTATTTTAGATTAAAATAATTAAAAATTGCAAAAGCACCATTTTAAAGGGGTTAATGAAAATTTCTAAAATATTTCATAAATATAAAGAACATACATTCTAACCAAACCTACAAACATACCAAAACATACATTCTAAAGTATATTGCAGATTTGGTAATAGAATAATATTAAAAACAAAAAATTCTTGTGCGCAAGCTGTGAAAACGCCCCAAAATTTCGTAAAGAGAAAAGTGCATTTGAATGTCACCATAGATGCATAGCGATACCCTGTCACGACAGAAAAAATAATATTTTGTTAATAATATTCCACGATAAATTGAAGCTACAGAAAACTTCAATGCACAGGGGACGACTAGGCCTACTTGTCAATGTAAATGTGATGGCGGGTGACTTTACAATGAGGAACCACGCACAAAAAAAATGGCTTAAGTTCATTCTGTTTTGGGTTGCAAGGAGGACTTTAAACGCGGATATGACTAATATTGCGATCGTAACCAGCATTTATTTATTTTTTACGTAAAATATAGAGATTAGAAGGTAATAAAACAACATAAAACCCAATACTGCAGATTGGGTGAGTTGGTAAGGCATCATTACGAACCAGCACACAGGTAGACAGTTATTCAGAAATAACTGTCTTTGAATAACTGTCTACCTTGTGGGGATTTCTGTGGTCTCCCTTCCCCGATGGCTGCGATAACGGCCGCTGGTCGGAACACTCGGCCCCCTTCGCCGTTAGCTCCAACCTGTTTGTGAGGCAGAGGGTCACCTGGCTTGGGGGGCTCTCCTCTCACTTTCTCCTGGGGGGACCTCTTTCCGTCCCTCCGCTCGGACGTGAATCACTGCTGACAGGCGAGGAGGCTTCCGCCTCGACTTTTCCCGCTTTCGGGAAGGGGACTCCTCCCGCGGATGCGATAGAGTTCGGACGTGTCGCGAAGGACTTCCTTTGCCAGATCTGGACTGCGCTCTCGGGACGGTGTCGACAGGGTGAGCCAGCGTGTTTTTGGTTTTCCAATAAACACCGTTGGACCCAGTCCTATTGTGGTACGTGCTCCTCCTTTTAGAGAAGCGATCAGTTGTGCGGCTGATGTTCGGACCCGCCCGTAGCGGTGTTCTCGAGAGAAAGCTGCGGGGTGTGGGAGTAGGCTTGGCGTCTCCCGATTAGAGACCGCCGCTGAACCCTTCGGTTACCACCACCCGTCACCATTGCGGTCTCGAAGCGGGTCACTCTGGCATATGTCCTATGGCCGCTCGTCGGGTCCATTTCCCAACTGAGTGCCTTCCTGTCACCATTGACAAACTGGCCACCTTTTCTTTGTGGTTTTGTTTGCTGTTTGCTTCTGCCCGTTTCTGCCGCCTTTGCGGCCCGGGGCAGGCGAGCGTCAGTTGCGCACGCCCCCTCGTTTGGAGGCTGTGGCACCCTTTTCTTCCCTTTGGGGAGGTCTGCGGCCGGTTCTGGGCGTGTTGTCTGCTGGCATTACGACTTCGCAGGTCTGCTCTGAGGTCGTCCACCCCCCCCCCCCCCCCTTTCACCAGCCCACTGCGGCCGAGATGGCGCCGAGCCCCCAGGGTGGCGTGTCTGGGACTTCCTCAGCTGGTCTCCGCGGGTGGGCGGCGATCGTTGGCCTTTTTGGTGCTGCCGCCTTCACGACCGCCTGACTACACCCCACTGCCGGCCAGCTCGTACCGCGACACCTGGGTCCAGCTGCATCGGTATGGTGTTTGTGATGCTCTGCAGGGCTGTGGCAGCGACTGTCAAGTGCTTGGGACTTGAACTTTCCAGGTCTTCGGTCCTGCAGGCCACCTGTTGACGGCGGACACTGTGAAGACGCGCGCTAGGTGTCGCGTGTATCTGTTGGGGGTGCACATAGAGATATTTTATTTTATGAGAGCAAGTGGGCCTCCTTTATTCTTCCTTGAGACCCACCTACCGTTTCAAGGAGGGGGGGATGTGGGGATTCCTGTGGTCTCCCTTCCCCGATGGCTGCGATAACGGCCGCAGGTCGGAACACTCGGCCCCCTTCGCCGTGAGCTCCGACCTGTTTGTGAGGCAGAGGGCCGCCTGGCTTGGGGGGCTCTCCTCTCACTCTCTCCCGGGGGGACCTCTTTCCGTCCCTCCGCTAGGATGCGAATCACTGCTGACAGGCGAGGAGGCTTCCGCCTCGACTTTTCCCGCTTTCGGGAAGGGGACTCGTCCGGGTGACCGCGAAAGAGATAATACGTGCGTCGGCGACTTCTCCGATGCTGGTCATGGCACTCCGGAAGCCCGCGTCTGGCAGGTAGGGAACTTTTCTTACCTTGCCGGAGCGGGGTGCATTTTGGGTGGGGGCATTGTAGTTTTTTTTAGAAGAGTATTATAATAAATGCTCTTGGACTCTGTCTTTACTCTGTGTCTTTACGTGTGTCTTCAATTCCGCTATATTCGAGAGAGTGAGACAAGGAAGTTGATCATTGGCACCGACGGAGGTAATTAATCGAACCCACCCGCGGTAATGTAGCCCTAAATGTCGTCTATATTGCCGCGGAGATGTGGGGACCGCGCTACTAGGTTTGACGTCTCCTTTGAGATCGCCGCCGCTGTTGAGATAACGCTTTGGTCACTCTACCGGTTCCTGTGTTGGTAGCTAGCAAAACCCCACAACCTGTGTGCTGGTTCGTAATAAAACTCAAACTAGGGTCAAAATGACCCTAGTTTTTTAACTAGGGTAGTTTCTCGATTCGCATCTTCCGCTAAGGCAATAATTGAAAGTTTTGGAAATTCACACCAGCCTACCGTAACAATCCGGCCATGGAATGAGGCCTGATTTATTCTATTTTGTACATAAAGCAAAATAAGCTTTGGCACAATGTTGGCACAAATTCCTCACATTTTGGCAAAACATAGCAGGATGTAGCATGATAAGCACTTTGGCACTGTTTGACGCAAACGGCTCAACAATTGCATCAATGTGACTTCTACAACCAGGGCATCTGCCAGCTTATCAATCGGCGGAAAAGATGTGTCAGTCAGATACATATGGGAGATGGACTGACCTCACCACCAAAGCTCGTGATTGCAGCTTTCTTGTCTCCTTGTGATAATAAAAACATTTTGCCTGCCCTCATGGGTTTGTGCAAGGCCACAAGTTTATTTACTAATGCCAATAAAAAAAGACTGCACTCAACACAATATACAATATGCAATTCGAATCTGATAAAATGTGCAAGTGCTTACCATGAGTCGCCCTGATCATGCAGTAACCTTTCTCTCCTGTCACACTGAGGCGGTCGTCCGACAGTTTCAGTTGGGGGGCTGAGGACACAAAGAAATTGTGTTTGTCACAGATACTGTCACACACAACACCACACAATGTAATACTACTACAGTCTAAGCACATTACAAGAGACATGGTTACAACGGATATTTGGATATAACATACCGATTTCTGAAGTTCGCTTGATTTTCCTCTACACACCATTGACTCAATTTCATATCTGCCATACAGCATACTCCTCTTACAATAGACCGAAATCTTGGTCAGAATCAAAGTCTGTTATAACGAGCTTAGACTGTATGATCTAAACTTCAGTATGACACAAATTTCTTCCCAAACTGATAAGTATTACAGTGGGAATCGCAATAATTCAAACTCTGATATTTCATACCTTCAGTTCATTCGAACAAATTAAAAAAATGTGGTTGTCTTGCTATGTTTTCAATGCATTTATAAGCTGCTTAATTCAAAGAGTGTTTGATTTGTTCATATGTTCATTGAAGCGGCTTAGCCCCAATGAGTGTGCTTTTCATCAAGTGCCTATGAACTGCGGGAAAGCAATACCCACGGAGCACGCGGTCATTGCTCTTCTACAGTATGCGGGTGCAGGATGAGAAGTGCACTCGATAGGGCTAACCCACTGTGATTATGCAAGCAGAATTGTCCTGACAACCTGCTTTCATTTTGTCGTGCCTGTATGTTTTTGTTTTTTTCTGAGGGGGCTATAGTTTAGGTTAAAGAAATAATATTTGCATATAGCGAGAAGATTTATAAATTCTCTCGATTAGGATAGCTGGGCGCGTCTCTTTAGGTTTATTTTTATGTCGAAGCTGTCATTTACATGCCACCCCAATCTAGGCATTAGACTTTCTGAGGCCACGGTTCATAGATCTAGTTAGACCAACTGTGCTTAGAAGTGGACAAGAAGAAGGTTGGAACAACCTTCATGAGTTCAGCTGAATTTTCGTTTAAGTATGGTACTACAATAGTAAAAGGCTCGGAGAAACTATTCTATATTCAATGAAAAATTCTACATTCAATGAGAAAACATTCGGCCAAAACCACTATTCACTTCGAACCTCACCAATGTTTTACGTGTGTGCCTGCTTATAAATAGGCCTGTGTAGAGCAAAGTGTAAAAAATCTGCTTGGTATGGGTAGCCGCTCCTATAGAAAATTAGTACTTTGCCTCTCATTAGATTTAAATGACTTTCTGATAATTCAAAATTCTGATATTTCCAATAAAAATCTGTGGCTTCCTGGAGTTTCAAGTAATGAGAGACGACTATAATTTAGACAACTAATGTAGGCGGAAAGAAATATGTGCATAAATTTCCAGCTCATAGCAGTTTCCTTTCCGGCTGACACGTCCGAAAACTGCCATAACGACGTAGTTGGCGTGACGCGTTGGCCCACTCAACCACAGCCGCATCTTTGTTTTGCTCCACTCGCCCTCTTATTCATCTTCTGGCTTCTCTGCACTCGCTGCGCCGCACTCCTTTCCTGGGCAGGCATGACCTTGAACACGGCTAAGAAGGAATTGAGGCTTCCAGAACAGCCCGTTCACCTCTCCGTCTTGTTCTGCTTCTGTTACTCCTCTTTCTGTTTCACCTTTCTGCTACTGCACCTTAGCCACCAAGCCTGGAAAAAAAGTGCCCGCTTCTGCCTTGCTTGATGGCATAGGGGAGCCAAGCCATCGAGCATAGCACAAGTGGGCACACTTCTGCCGTCCTCAATGGCTCAGTTCTCCCAGTCGAACAGCTTCCCTTCGCGTGAACATTAAAATACACGAGTCAAGCTTCATTGTTTTACGTTGGTGCACAAGTTGGGGCTTCACTATTCTGCACCGGCATGCTAGGAGCTGCGGCTGATGCAGGGGAGCTCAGAAAATATTGCTCTCTTAGAGGCCAACGTCCTCCTTTAACAATAACACATGGACCTCTGACAATAAGATAAGCTAAAAAAAGAAACTGCATTCGAAACAAATGTGGAAGTTCTCCGCAGTCACGAACGTTTGCACAAAATAACTCGCTGCGCAAGAGTTGCTTCTTCCTTCATTGCACATTCCCAAAATCGTTACTGGACGTTTTGTTTTCTCCATTCACACGTTTCCTGTCATGGTCCGCTGAAAAACGCATCAATGTGGCTCTACCATGACTATTGTGCCTGGATGCTGGAACGCATTTTCCTCCAGAGTGTCTACCATATTCTAAAAAGTGATCCCCCCAATTTCTGCTCGGTGACGTCGTAGAAGTGTTGCGCTGCCGTTGGTCGCGATCCCGTTCCACTGCAAGTCGCTCTCCAGCTGCGAACTTTGACAGCCGAGAGTTGGGAAATCGCGACGCGAACCACACTCGCATTCTCTCTCACTTTCTTTTTTTTCAAAACTTCTAAGCTAAATTGCCAGGATCGCGACGTCTGACAGCGTGACGCACCGACTTCCGCGATGTCGTCTGTCGCCACTTGGGGACCGCACCACAACTAATGCGCTCACCACGGTCGTGCATGGCCAAGAGCACCGCAGACGGCTGCAGCTTGCGGTAGAGCCAGCCGGGGATGGGCTTGCCCGCCCAGTCGGTGCTGTCGTCAAACTCCTGCCGGAAGGGGGCGTGGGGGTCAGGCTCGGCCAGGATGTAACGGTAGCCATCCTTGTTGTACGGATGCTCCAGGGGGTAGCCATTCGGGGGAAGCTTGGGCATCACCAGGTCGCTGCAAAGCGGGCTCTCTTTATGCTATCCAGTTATCTGTACTATTGCACCGTACTGTTGTATGCAAACCGTAAAACTCCGTAAGAATGCCTGCCCAAAATGAAAAGATAAATGGTGAAAAGGTGGGGTGGGCTATCCTTGGGAATGCCGCAGCAGAACTCTATCAAAAATTAACGATACACATTGGGATACCTGCTACAAACCACGTGATGAGGGAACCGGTACCACAGATCGCAAACACAGCAAATTCGCATTTCACGGTGTGATAAACACGCGGGAATTCACTACAAACTCCTATGTTTGTAGTTGGAAAGGATACCGATGCATTTTACCCGCAGAAACCCACCGAGAACTCGCATCACACGGAAAAGAATATCGCAAACCGCAGACGCAGCAGATTCAAGTTATTTTGGGGCAATAAACCCGCGGGAACCCACTACAAAGTTGCCTGTCATGAGAACCGATATAGCGTGCGCAGATCGCGGACAAAAACACAGCATCCGCTACAACCTCACATGTCACGGGAGCACCACAGATTGCGGACGCAGTAGAACCGCGTTTCATGATGCAATATCCAAGCGAGAGTGGTTCCGTTTGAGAGAACCCATTTCGCCACAGTAAGTATACTCCATCGAACTCAAACTGGTGCTCATCGGGAGTTATAAGGCTTAGAAGTGCCTAATTTGTTGCAGAAATTTGAAGGTTGCTCGCCTATGACGCCCCTTGTTTGGTACAAAAGGTCCAGAAATGGTGCGAAGAACCTCGGGCAGCAAGACAGAGTGATGCCAATCCTCGTCCACCCCATTTGACCACGGCAAGACGTGTCCATCTCCATAGGGCGCACAAGCACTCCCTATGACAACGGGCCCAATACGAATAGACAGCGAGCACGATTGCACGATTAGACCCTAAGACCCGCACTAGCTGTAACATAAGTTAAGCATGTAAGCTTTGTAATGTGCGAATAAACACAAACTGTGTATTTGGCTACGTCATTTTTGTACCCTAGTGCCTATACGCCCTCTGCAGCACGCACAAGACGTTTCACATACTCCACTGTGCCTGCATTCCTAATACAGTCTACCAGATTTTTTGTATTGATGCTGGCTGTCCCACGGATAAATTGTCCAAACCATTTCCGCCAAGTCAGTAGGGTTGATTATTCTCCGTTTCAGAACTTCAAAGTTGGTTCGCACTCAAATATTTTTTTCATTTACCCTTCTCATTGCAATCGTCAATACCCCCTCCCCATCGGTGGATGGGGTCGCCATCGCTACTACCGATCCAGAAAGGGTCCCCAAAATAGTAGCTGTTAAAAACCACTGCTATATGCTATAAACTTACAAAATTCCTACTATTTCCTATCGGCGTATGTGCCAGTATAACTCCCAGCCGAGAGACGCTCCTGCTTGTATGGACTCCCCCACACACTCTCAAGTTGTCTGTGACAACTTGAGAGTGTTGGACTATTCACTGAAGGTCCCCAAGGAATAGTCTATTGCAAGTTAAGAAGAGCACGACAAGCCCTTCCCACAAAGCTCTCTACTCACCACGATTGGTGGTTTCCTCCTCTCCAGCGCTTGCTCTTCTAAAGGGGAAAGAGTGGAGGGCCCTATGGGAGGAGCTTGGTCTGCTATTTTAAAACTGCAACAGACCACAGTGCATCTGTGGTCTGTTGCAGTTTTAACTCTTAAGAGCGCCCCAAACCCAAACCTTAAGTCGATTTTTCCGCACGATGCGTGGCTAGAGTTTTAGTCTCGAGTTGCAGACCGCGTTGAACTGACAAACAAGGTGTGGGCTCTTTTTTGCGAAGAATTCAATACAAACAAACAAAGGGCACGGGTGAAGAGTGGAGCAGCGAGAGGCGATCAGAGCAAGGAAAAGGACCCACCTCTTGACTTTCTTTCCCGACGTGGCGGTCTGACCCTCACCAGGCAGCTTCCGTTTCGTGCCCCGTCCTTTCATGGGAACTGGATTGCCTGCACATACACAAGGAGCTGTTCACCCCTTGGCAACCAAGGATGCAGTGTTGCGTAAAGTACATCTAAAAAGTACTTCAAGTAAAGTACAAAGTAAAAGAGAGGTGATGCACTTCAAGTAAGGTAGTAAGTACACTGGGTGCAATGTACCTGAAGTACTATAAATACAATGTACCTTAAAATTAGTGCAATTCTGCCAAGATGTGTAGCCAACTAGCCCACCAGATTAATTTAAATACAATGTACTTTCAAAGTAAAGTACAAGTATTTTGTAACAATCTTTCATGATGCCCTTTCATTCCCCTATACAGATTTTTTGTAACTGGTATGCGCCGCCCCAGAGGTAATCAAGGGTGCATGACCTATTTTCGGAAACAGCGGCAAATATTGGATAAGGTCAAGTGGCCACAGAGTAGTTTTGTTCAGAAATGGCACCAAATTCAGAAGTTCATCCGTCTTCTGAATTTGGTGCCACTTGCACTGACTTGTTGCACTCAAGGGAATTAAATGTACTAGGAGAGAGCATGACGTCAGCCCCGTAGCATCTGTAAGCAATCCTCTTGTAGAGGAGTGTCCTCTCCTTAATAAAAAAAAACAGTGAGTGTGCAGGCGAGCTGGTGATAGGAAGGAAAAGACAAAAGAGAATGTCTCAAAACACTGTGAGATTAATCTCTGTTGTCTTTTTCTTCGACTTGAAGGTTTAATTTTTCCACAAGACAGTCTCAGGTTGTTACATTATAATTACTTTTCCTCTCCTAATATTTTTAACCCCATCACTTCTACTGACCAAGCAAAAAGTAGCGAGAGTTCAAAAAGCTATGGGAAAGCTACCCCCAGAACAAACAGAGCAATGTGTCGTCTGCTCATGCGTCCGGTGAGAGTAGAATATCCCTCCCAGTATTTCGTCAGAGTCGACAAAGCATCATTTATGACACAGAGTACATTTGCAGAATGTACTTTGAAGTCGGGAGTTGTACTTTCCTTGGAAAGTACTGGAAAAAAAAACACTTTAAGTAAAGTACAAGTACATACTTGAAGAATGTACTTCAAGTTAATTAAGAGTTTTCTAAACCTACTTGAAGTAATAAACACAAAGTACTTCAAATACTTTTTAACGCTGCAAGCACAAGCGTCGCTCGTGCCGTCCATTACAGACCGGAAAGCCCAACCAAGATTCTGGCTCGTGCTTCGGTTTCAGAGCTTCTTTTCCGAGGTCTCCAGCAGACGGCAGTGTAGCCACTGTTGCTCCGCCCCCTTCAAGTTACTATGTTGTTTGTTTCAAATTTTCCCCGAAAGAGGGCTCTGTTGTTCCAAGAAACAATGTTTGGTGTCTGCAAGTGTGGGGAAAGGCGACATGGCCTCAACAGAGTCCATTTTAAAATACCGAAACTTTCATTTGAAGGTGACAAGTGCACTACCGTTTAGATGACGAATCATGCTCTCTGATGACTCGGAAACTTTATTTAAGATTGACAATTTGCCCACAAATTGAAAGAAGCACTTGCCTGGCCTCCATATTGTGTTTATTGCTATTTCACTAAATGTTCCCAACAGTACTGCACAGCAAAGGACTGCTGAATGAGCACATCATATGGCCAGGAATTAATAGTGAGAGCAACAAGCAACACCTCGAGGCCAAGTGAAGATTTCCTTTCATTAATGAGCAAAACGCCAATTTTAAATGAAGTTTTGTGGTATGTTTCATGAAAGAAAGATTAGTGTGTAATGAGTGAACAGCTTGTAGGGACAGGCTAAGCTTCAAAGGAAGTAGGTATATAAGTATAGAGAACTCACTGTATCATAGAAGACAACACGCTTTCACCATGACTTGGCCAATAGTATAATGTATTTTTAAAAAATATTGCACAGACAATCATGTGACGTGATCTGAATGAAGAGCATCAGCTGGTGGAATATTTCAATGATATTGCGTGATACTCCGGAGTATGCTTTGGCCGCTCTGTCCTTGCGCAAAAGGACTAGAGCGCTGAGGGAATATCAAGCGCTCACCCACAAGATCTGATTGAAACAGACCTTCTGGCATCAATGGTATGTGCACCCCTAGCACGTGATGAGATACGGGATCCTGCCAGCACAAGCACTGCATAGGCACGTAGCGCATAGCTTGAAGGCAGTCAGGCCACTGTCCGGGTATGAAGACTGAAGAAGCTCGTGACAAGTCGCCAGCAAAGACACCACGTGTCGTGTAAACCATAATTAGGGCTCCGTGTTTTCGGATAAATTCGAAAAACTCCGAAACACACCTGCCGGTAAAATTTTGGTCAATTCGGATTTATCCGATAAACGCCGAATATTCACTTGTCAATCCACCCCCCCCGGTCAACAAAAGTTTGATTAGCACAGAGCCAATGGTCCTGGGAAAGTTCCGCCATAATTATCTTTTAAATCTCGAACCCTTGTCAAAAGCGGTCTTGCCGCTTGTCTCTTCAAGGGTGAGTCAGGGCAACAGGTCGTTCATTGTACATTCGGGTCACGACAAAGGCCACTCTTTTGGTTTCCAGTTTGGGCCATGTGATTTGTGATTTAGGGAAAAGCAAGGGTATGTTTTAGTAACAGTGAAAGCTATGGACCATAGGGATTGTATAAAATTGGGAAAAGGGGCAGTTCAAACTTTCTATTACCTCCTTAACTACTCTACCTCCCGCGGCCGCGGGCTAGATGGATGGAATAGGATGGGACAACAACAAACTTCCTAGCGACTACCTCCGGGAGTTTATTGATTTTAAGGTATCAGTATTTGTCAAAGCGCCACTTGTTTGTGACTTTTGTCGTGGATAAATTAGTATTGCCAATGGCAATGGTACCAATGCCAAATTCAACTGAAGATATTTAAATTTTTACAAGCGAGTTTTATTTTTTATTTGGCATACGTTTACATTTGGTTATTATTTATTTATTCATTTTTAATGAAAAACACAGCGAAATTAAACTCCGAATTTCGGAGAATTGGGAATCAAAAGCATATAAACTCCGATAAACTCTGAATCTTCGGCAAAAAATAAGCTCGGAAAAACACCCTCCGAATTTGACGAAATATATACTCCGAAAACACGGAGCCCTAACCATAATCAATCACACACAAAACAGCTAATGCAGGGGTGACCAGGCTGACCTGGCCTAAGAGCCGCAAACAAAACCACGAAACTTCCAAGAGCTATGTGGGGGGGGGGGTTGAGGGGCAAACTTTTTGCCCAGAGCAATAAACGAAACTCGAACTGCTTTCAATCTATCCAAGTCAAAAGCAGTTTAACTGTACATAAGGTAGCACAAGACTACCAAACCGCAACCCGTCTTTTGATTTAAAACTCGTTTCATTTCTCTTTTTGGGGAGTGCTCCTGTGACTGGGAGGGAGGCGGGGGAGTGTGTGTGTGTGTATGTGGGGGGGGAGGGAGGGGGGGGAGGGGGGTAGGGGAGGGAGCCGCGAGCCGCACTTTAACACGCGAAGAGCCGCATGCGGCTCGCGAGCCGCAGCTTGGTCACCCCTGAGCTAATGCACCCCATCCTAACAGCCAGGGTGAGACCGAGCGACCCAGCGGCGAGCGAACGGCAAGAAAGAGCAGGTGGTGCCCTCCCCTGGTGCCAAAGCCAACTGCGATGAGGACGAGCACTTGCATGCTCCAACCGTTTTTGGCGACACAAGGCTCATCCAGTACAACGAGCTCATTGCAATAGCTGATGCTGTAATAAATTATTGGTATGGAGAGTTCCAGAACATCCAACAATATTCATGAATTTTTATTCAAAAGCCCCAATACAGAGTAAATACCCAAACAAGCTACAGTGTCTAGTCTAGAACAGCGCTTACCACTATCTATTCACGACGGACATGTCATAACAAAACATCTCTCCTATATCATCTGCTCCGCCCATCCAACCACACTAAAGTTTCACAGCTCTCAACAAAAAACAGTCACTCCTTCAGCTACCCTAGGAAAGGAATGTCCAGTCACACCCACCGAACAAAGAACCTCCAAGATGAATTGACAATCCCGGTTACGCATAAAACTCAATCAAATGAATGGAATGAATGGAACAAAATCATGCATCCCCATTTTTGCTTTATAGGCTAATATATTTAACCAATTTTAACGTATAAAAGTAAGATGTAGCGATACCAGACAAACTATTGTAATCGTGCCATGTTAAGAAATTATGTTCTATAAAACCTCAAAATTCAAGGCAGTAAACTTTAGCAAATGAAAAACAAGAAGAGTATAAAGAAAAGCCCCTATTTTATTGTTGTTTTAACACAGAATGTGTGTTATATGACTGGCTTTTAGCGATTTCCTGCAATGCACTTCACGTGATGGAAGTGTGCTGCGTGAAAGATGATTGGACACAAGTGCTGCGTCAGTGTTTGGCTTGAAGTCGTGTTCTCGCCCCCAGCTGAATGCTGACCACACATGCAATGGGGAAGTGTGCAAGAGGTGAGGGGAAAGAGAACAAGCATGTGCTTCAAAAGAAACAGAGAGATCTGAAATGGTAGGGTCAAAGCTGGGGTGTGCAACCACAAGAGACGCAAACTTTGCGTTCCAGCCCCGCTTGAGCACTAGCTTTGACGGGACTTTCCTTCAAAGGTACTATGCAGAATGATTTTTGTGCTGTCGAGGTACGAAATGCATGCTAAGTTCATATGTGTAACATCACCCCAAAGCAACACATAATGCGTCCTGTGTTACCACTGCCTTCGCCACAAAAATGTAGGAGAGGGGCAAATGTTTTTTATGTAAGGGATCTTGCAAAATCTATTTGTCAAACTCATAAGAGTTTGACAAGTGCCAAGTTTTACAAAATGCAGGTTTTCATAAGTTATGCTCGTGATTGGCAAAACGTTTATGCACCTTCCTCTGCCCTTTCTTTTGCCTGCTTCATTCAAACAAGGCGGGTCAAAACTGGAACTCACCGGAAGAGAACTGGGTGTCGAGATTACGGCCCTGGCCACTCCTCACAAGACTTTCGTAGTTGGGACTAATCTTCTCCAAGTCCTGAGAAAAAACAAGCAAACTGTAGTTCAACCGAAAAAGTGCACCGCACCACAAATAAACTGCATGCCCGAGAGTAGTGTCTCGCTCGCGGCAAGCATCCTTGGGTGCCTTACCGTCAAGATCAATCCAAAGTATGGGTGAGCACCCGTGATCTCCCCAGACTCTGTCTTCTCCTCACAGACAAAAACGTCCATGTCTTTGGTCTGAAGGCATACACAAAAGAAAATTGAATCTCAGACGCAAATATGGGACAACACGCTGAGAAGTGTCACTGATGAAACATTTCTAAATTCAGTGGTACGTTGAGATGGAGGCAAAGAATAGTTTGCCTGAGCTTCATTTAGCAGTCAGTGCATCGAGTGAGACTGCGCTGGTACCCACGGCAATAGAAATTCTTCAGGTGGCGTAACACTGCGCCACCGCCGATGAGCCACCAAGCTGAAAATTGGCACGCAATTTTCTCCCCTGTCGTTAGGGTGTGCCACCAATCTAGAGGCTGAGAAGGCCGCCCTTTCATGAACAGTAGCGTGCGCCGGGCTAGAACGCCGTGTAGTTTTATGTGGTTTTCGCGTGGTTCTTGCGCTGCTTCTGACCGGTTTCGGCTTCCAGAAGTTTCGGGCAATGGGGAAGAAGTGCTTCGTGCCACGGTGCAACGCAGGATACGAGACATGCACGTTTTCGCTCTTTCTTTTAAGTACTCGACAAGGAAGAGGGCCACCTGAAGGTATCATCTTGTGATCCCACGCAAAGACCGCCTGCTGCAGCCAACAGACTTCATCTGCGAAAGACATTTTGAGTTGAAGTTTGTGACCGAATTGTGAGAAGCTGTCTACAAGGGCCATGTTCTCGTAAGTGTACAACGGAAAGCTGCTCTGGCAAAAGACGCGGTGTCAATAAAGTTCTCAAGCTGCCCCAGCTACCTAACAAAAAAAAAAAAAAAAAAGGGAAAAAAATTTAGCTGCATGCCTGGCCATTTTGTTGAATGCGATTAAATGTGGTAGCGTTACAGGAACATTGCTAATGAAAACAATCAGGAAAAGAAATGATATGGTGATGAAACACATTGAAGACGACATCAAGGACGGCGTCTAGGACAACAATGAGGACAACGTGAGGAACGACCTCTAGGATGAGATCAAGGACGACGTTAAAGACATGAAGAACGACGTCTAAGATAACTTCTAGGACGACATCAAAGGCGGTGTCTACGACGTCAAGAATGACTTCTAGTGCGACGTCCTAAAGGACGACGTCTAGAACGACCTCAAAGACGTAGTCGAGGAGGTAGTAGAGGAGAATCTCAAAAACAATGTCAAAATAGCCTCGAGGACGACCTCAAGGATGACGTCAAGGACGTTGTCCTAGAGGGCGACGTCAAAAACGACTTCTAGGACGTTGTCCTAGAGGATGCAAGAACAATGTCTAGGACGATGTCAAGAACAATGTCTAGGACAACCTTTAGGGTGACCTCAAGGACGACGTCCCAGAGAACTATGTTAAAGACAACGTTTGGGAAGACCTTTAAGATGATGTAAAGGACGTCAGGTCACGTCACGTCAACAACCGGCAATACGTGACCGGCGTTACGTGACCAGCACCTACGAGCTTACTCGACGGGAGCTTACGTTTTAGTCCCAGGTGTTAAGTGACCTTCGCTTCAGCTTTTATCGCTTCAGCCACGGCTGTTACGTGACCTTTAAAATGCAACCTTGCACATGGTTGGTCCTATAAAGCTACCTTAAAAGGACCTGTGGATTGTCAGTGCCCTCTGTCCAGCAAACGGCACTGTGTTCTGGCGATGTCACCTGTATCAAAAATGTTCAAAAGTTGATTTCTGTACAACTTTCACCCTGATTTGCGAAATATTTCTGAAAACCACACTTCACTGATTCTGCAAAATATTGTGCCTGCGAAAATAAAGTAGTTTACAATATGTGTGTGTTCAATGAACATACACTATATCTCTTAAAGGGTAGATCGAAAACGTGACTTTTATCCTTTTTTTAATTCTAAGAAAACCAATATAGTGTGTTCGATTTTAAGGGCCTCCTGTGTATACACTCCAATGTTTAACATTCCACAGCCCAGCATTTAGGTGTTTCTCTCTTCAAGAAGAAAGCGTAAGCTATACACAGAAATGCTAAAAATGACGTTGCCCAAAAAAAAGCCTTTTATTTATTTGTTTATTTGAACAGTCATTCATTCATTTACCGCCAGGAATATCCCCTGCCACTTGAAAAGTGTCATGCTTAACTGTCACATTCAGTTCAGCAAGTGCGAAGCTTTGCTGCAGTTGCTAAACATGTCACTCCGCAATTAGCAGATGGACATCATCGGCCTCGATGATTGTAGCACCATCCGCTGGTGTGCATGAAAAACGGGGACGAAAGTTTGATGCCTCCGGAGACTGCGTTAGTCCACGTCAGTATTCCTAAACCGCGCTGGTAGCTTTGCAAGAGGTTTCCACTACGCTGCCCTTGTGTGGCATGATACTTAAAAGTTGTAAGAGCTTGCATTTTTAGCATTTCAAAGTGCAGACAATGTATACATCAGCTAAGAAACCAAGCTCGTAATTAATGCAGACAGCCTGAACCATGAAATGTGATAACTTTTTTTCAAGTGCACTGAACGGTGTTCCTTCATCCTTCAATGTTACTCGTCAATGTAATATGATCGAGCCTACAGTTTCAAGGTCAATTCAAGAGTGGACTCATGCATAACAACCAGAGGTCAAATTAAAGTGTGAGATTCTCCCTTTGCTCATTCTCATGATTTGTAGCTACTATTTTGATGCAGGTACTGTAAGCCCTTTCATGAAGGCCTTTCATGCGCATTTATTGTGCATGAAAGGTTGGATGAGGTAAGCACTATCAACACATATGAGATGCCTCTCCTAATTGCGTTTCCCTATTTCCCCAACCTAACCTAACCTAATCTAACCTAACCAATTTAACCTCCTAGACTAATTTGTAGTATGGGTATAAAAAGACCAATATTGATGACGGTATGTTCCATTATGAGGCTGATAATAACATGCTCCCTTACTGACTGTGAACTCTTGTGAGCTCTATAAGAACAAACCTTATGCCTGGATCTTCCATTAGTATTCTAAAGATTACTGACTTAACCACAAGAAATTCCTTTTTAGACATCCTAAATATATCAGTCTCTGAAAGCATCCAATGAAATAACAGCTACAGCAAAACCTCTTTATAACAAAATGGGATATAACAAACTAATGGATATAACAAAGCAATCATAATTCCCCTTGCTTGCTAATAGTGGGAAGAAATGGACATTGGCCATAACAAACTAATGGTTATAACGAAATAATTACAACCGCCCCTTCAGCTTTGTTATAACGAGGTTTTACTGTATTAGCAGATTTTCCCCAACTTGCACTGTTTCCCTCAAATATCCTGGCACTCCTCAGATTTTTTTTCTTATTGGAAAATGCCCTGAGATATGCTAGAACTTGCAAACAAGTAAGCAATAATGCCACATTATAATTAGGCTCACACTAAAAGCCACATTCTGTGGGTGTATCTGCTAAACAAGTCTGAAATTTCAGCTACTGTGCTTGCTCCACATAAAAGCCTCAATGAGACTGACTGCGCAGCAGCAGAAAGGGTTTACAATATAGTTTCGCTGTGTCTAAAGTGCCCTCCGACGACATCTGCAAACCATTCGAGTATCATCCGACGGCACTTCACACGCACATTCAAGCACCGTCCAAAAGTGCAAAACTCGAGTCACACCGTTATTTTAATGTGTAATTAATCGGACACTTGTTGTTGATTTTTCTCCACATAAAGCGCAAGCGAGGCATGCCACAGGAGCAAGCCCACGCCTTCCTGCCTTGGCTTATGCATGCCATGCACACACGCAGCACCTTCGCATATGCTGACGTGGCAAGCTGTCAAGGGTTACGGTTGTGTGATATAAGATCAACTTGAGTTTGAAGCTCTGCATTCATCAGTTGCCAGAGCAACTACAAAGAAGAACATTCAGAAAAAAAAAAAAACATATATAAAAAGGAAAAAAAAGAACTCTGACGCTCACGTGGTTTCAAGCCTGTATATATTCCATGAAAAACAAAAAATATGTCGGCCAAACATGCCAACCATCGTAACATCAAAGCGAATTCAAAGTATGATTTCGTGGTTTTCTGATATTATTTTGTATGTTATTAGACAATAATATCGGGAGTATTTATGGCCAGTATACTCAAAGGCGGCTAACACCAAAAAATTAGGGAGGAAGTAAGCACATTAATTTCGGCCGCAATACGCTAAAAGCATACTGTTCTTCGCTCAGCGACGACACTTGAACACTCGGCAGAAGCACTGTTGTATGATGTTTGAAAACTAGAGACCAGTGGTTCTCAAACAGGGTCCCCAAAGCCCTCAACAGTTAGTCAAGCCAAGCAATAAAACAGTTTCCTTTTATTGATGCCGGCTGTCCCACACAGCTGAACAGACCAAACCATGTGTACCAAGTTAGTAGGGCTGATTATTTGTCTGTTTCAGAGCTGCAAAGTTGGTCTGGACACATTTAGCTTTTTTCATTTACCCCCCCTGTACTAATTGTAATCGTCCAATACCCCCCCCCCCCCCCTTGGTGGATGGGGTTCCCCATGCCTTCCACCAATACAGAAGGGGTCCTCGAAATGTGAGTGGCAGAAAACCACTGCTCCAGACGCTGCATTATTTTTTTTTAATTAAATAATCTAATATTTTAGAATGCATTAAGCAATGCACATTTCCATCTGCCTTCAAATGTGTGTTGCTAAAGGGGCCCGTTTACATGTCTGTTTTCTTCAACAAGCCTCTTGTTTGGGGTTTGAAAGGCACCGATTTTAAATGAGGAAGGTAGCTTTTGTTCTTCTTGGCAAAGCATGGACACTACAGTATAGACCACTTAAAACGTAACCGCTTATAGTGCAGGACCGGGTATAACGCGGCTTTTTTGAACCACCGGTTCGCCTCCCATAGACCTCCATGTAATTACATACCGCTTAAAATGCAGGCGCGCGAAGGGAAATACCGGTTATAGTGCGGTTTCTGAAACAGCCCGCCGACCGCGCCGACCGACCAACGCAGCGAGCACGCTTCCCTGTGCGACACTAGATAACGGCGCTAGCCGCAAGCGGCACTCGCGGGGGCAAGGATAGCAAGGAGGTTGCTCGAAGAAGCGGGGAGAAGCGAAGAGAGAGGCTTCAGTTGCCAGAGCGACGGAGGGACGCACGCACGTGTTGTTCACGACGCAAGGCGTTGGAGCGAGCCAACAATGGAGCGAGCCCATCCAACCCAACTTTCCTCCGCTGCTGTTGTTGTAAGCGTTGAAATGAAATTATAGATAGAAAATAGAGTCAATATTGTGCGTTGGAAACAACCGCAACCTGTGACCGCAATGACAGACCAATCGCAGATCGAAAAAAAGTGTTTGCACGCGTTGCATGCCGGCCGGCTTCTTCTATCCACAAAACATGGCGTCGGTGGTGATTGTCGACGTAGACGGCGAGGTGGAAGCTTATCGTTCCGCGTAAAAGTGCTATCCTTGACCGTGAATTTTCGTTGTGTGTCGCTATGATAACCCAGCACGTACTAGAAGGGAAGATCCAACTACTCGTGCGGCGATGTCGTGGCGGCGCTCTCAAGACGGCAGAAACGCCCGTGTCGTCGTGTTTGTTTACTTCGACTACAGTGGTGATTTCTAAGCATTTGTGTCCTCGAACATCGCCCGGATTTCTTATTTGGCGCATTTCATGCGTGCGCTCAAGTTCAAGGTATTACTGGCGCGTACCGTGTGAAGGATGCGAATTTTCATGTGTTTTCATCTCCGGAGAAAAGTGATTAGGGTTAGCAATCCTGAACGCTCTCAACGTCCGTCAGCAACCCGCGACGCCGTTAAAAGGCTGCGCCAGGCAAAAGTCACTTATTTCTTTCAAAATGTGTGACACACTTGAGAGAGAAGTGTACTAGTCTGGTGAAATAAAGACCTTCCTCAAGCTAAGCTTTATTTTTGATCTAACATAAAATAAATTGTTTTACAATGGAAAGTTGTCTCATGGCATGTATTTTGGCCTGAAAAATTGATGTTTTGGTTATAGCGCGGTACCGCTTATAGTGCGGATTTTCGCGACTCCCGCGACATATGTTATATGCGGTCTACACTGTATTTGCCTTTTTTCACTTGGTAACAAACTCAGTGGCGCTACCTAAGGGTGGCCTCGGCTCAATTTCAGTCCACATATATTTTCCCAATTTTTTACGCATCATTCTTTCGTAACAAGAGTAAATTACGTTCCACGATTCTATAAGCAACCATTTCCCACACACGGCACATCGATACGGTCTTGCAAATGCTGCACAACTCACAGTCTGGTTCAGGACCGGAAGTGTTTAAGGGCTATTTGCACACTAGCGCCACCCCAGCTCAACTCACACGAGAAAGAGCAAATATTCAGGTGGAACTCAAAATAAGCCAGAGTCTGTATCAGCTGCAATCAATATTTTTGAAACAGAATGATTACATATAGAGACTCGCGCGAAAAGTAAGGATAGAACCAAGACCTTACATCAAACTGAAACATTTTAGAAAGGAGAAAGTCATTGTTACCGAAGTTTTCTCGACTTAGCCAATACTTTTGAAACAGGATACGTAAAGAGTACATCCTATTTAAGTTTTGTTTCTATGGTTACAGCTGCATTACCGGGACAAACTATCAACAGAACTGACCATAAGCTTGAAATGGGTTACTGGACAATAATGTACACTACTGAAACATGTCATGACCCCTCAAACACCCTTACATGAAACTGACTTTTTCTGCTTCTCGTTTGTTTGCCCCAGTTCTTTCTTGAACAGGATTTCGCAGCACCTAACTTTTATTTGCAAATGACAGTAGAAAGTATGTTTTTAGAGGAATAAAATGAGACATATATAAGCCATAGTAGATAAAACAACTAAAAACTTACCATTGTCTTGTAAACGGTGGTGTGCCAAGTCTGCTTTATTCTCCGTGGAACTGTTGTCATGTTTTCCCAATTCCTTTCTATGAATGGAATTATTTCCTAAAAGATGAATGGTTCACAATGTTAACTGCACTTCAATGCATTTCAATAGCACTATTTTTTATTTTCAATGCCATTTCTCAAGACAATGTATGGCAGTAAGAGGGGTGGGGAGGGGGGGAGGGGACAACTCAAAATTTAAAGTCCATTAGACTTCATTGTACCATGTGTCTGGAAAAACAATTACCACATTTTATTTATTTTTCTCACTATGAAAACAAACTACTATGCTGCGATATTTGAAAATTTTCAACGAGGAAATAAAGCCCGTAGTCGACGCCGTTACTGTCCATGTACTCGTGAACTTCGTTGGCAGCGATTTTCTCATTGAAAATTTGCGCAAATCATCTATATAACTTTTTAGCCGGATAACGGCAAGTTCTAAAAATATGGCATCAGGTCCTAACTGCCTGTGCTACATTTGGGTAAAAACAGGTAGTTCAGTGATGCATAGTTCACTTTTGCAGTAAAAAAAACAAAACACCATAAACCTTTTTTCTAGCTTCGGGGGCAGTTTGCTACTAGTGAATGCAGCTTTTCCTTCCGGGGGTACGAGGGATTTTCGGGTCACGTGACCGGCTCCGTGGGGAGAAAGCACCTAGCATTCCAGTCAATTCCGCTCAGCAGACATAAGCATCGCTCGTCATTTTCTTTAATTCTCGCAGGCAAGTCCGGTCAATTTCAAAAATTTCGAGATAGTGGATAATCTTATTGTGAAAAGCACTCATGAACAACCCTACACCATTTGTTTCATGAAAAAAAAAAAAAAATCTTTCGTGCAATTGTGACACAACTATATTGCAACAGCGAAACCGAAACTTTGGCAAGGACGGGCAAAATTGTACACCCAACGTCAGAAGTTGGGGACACCCATGTGGGATACAGGGTGTCAAGTGATCTACCGCGTGGACTTCCGCTGCTGCACACACCTCGTCTGCACCACGTCGCTCCTGCAAGTTTCGACAAAATTTGTAGGCATTTGCAGAAGGTGAGGCGTAATAAAGTGCAAGTATGCTGCAACGAGTCTGAGGGACAAAAGAGTGTCGCATTGCTCTTCTTTCCCTAGCCGCTGCGAAGATCGAGAAATGGCATCCAGTTTGAGCCTCGCGCACTTTGTTGAGAAGCCCTTGACGGTTAACGGACGCAAGTCTTGTGTGTAGCACTCTGACAGGAAGTGACCCGAACAGATCGCTATCGGGCCCTTGGCAAAAACTTCTTCTGGGGGTCCGATCGGTGCACAGCATCTGTCTAAAGTTTTAGACGCTCACTGTCAGTGGGGAAATCGTGGAAGACAACTCTTGGGTCGTTCTGTGTATTCCGAGAGCAGTTGGCGACAATACACCGCGAGCCACTTCTGCACTTTTTTCCAGCCATCGCAAACACGCATCGAAAATGGGACTACGCACCTCGGTGAAAAAAACAAGAAAATGGGCCGAAATCGCAGCTGCCGCCACGCCGATTTTCAAAGAAAGGAGTGAGCATTTCGCACAGCAGTTATATTTAACAAAGCATGGTAAATGCAGCCTCTCAGCACTTTTCCACGGGGTGAACATTCCCGAAACTGCTCTTCTCCCTGGTGCAGGCAGATCAGGTCACATATCGTGTGCATGAAGGACGAGCGTGATGCATGGAAAATGACAAAGCCATTTCTTTGATAGGCACATAAGTCGTGCATACAGGGTCGACGACACCGTGCGCTTACGGCCCAGTGACATGGTAAGACAACTGTGCGTCGAGAACGGCGTGGCGGGCTGAAGAATAGAACCGCAGCCCGTGTGCATACACAGGTTTCCAAACCCGATGGCAGGAGCCTCCAGGGCATCCAAAGAGCGCACCCGCACGCCGGTCGCGTGATGTTAATGGGAAGGGAGGGTTAACGCACATCAATGATACAACTGCCGTCCCCCACACCGCCGGCAATCTCCGGTTGGTAGGGCCACAGTGCTACCCCGTAGCGACGTTGCGAACTCTATAACGTGTGTTCCAATGACGTCCAAGGTCAGCGCATGTACCAGGGCACTAATGCTTATGCATTAAAATGGACAAGACAGACCTAACACTAGCAGACTGTGCGTCACATGTCTTTGAGCAGCGCCAGCAGTGCCTCCACCGATTTGCAGATCACGTGACTCTGCACAGAACATGCTGCTCACACCGCTTGTAGGTTTTGCCTGGAAACAAAATATGAAAAAAAACTGCTCCCCGACTCTAGACTCTAGATGTCACGAAAGCGGAAGTACAGCGTTGGCTGCACCGCACATCGCCCGCTGAATTGGCATGTTCTTTTCAATTGAAGCGCCGCAAACTATGTTGGTCAACTTGATAACCTTGTAGGTGGCATTACGTTATAATATTTGACGTACGGTCGTTCTAGATTATATTAAAAAGAACTGCATAGTTGTCCCACTACCAAAAATGAAGGAGAGTTGCTTTTTACCAGAATCTCCTCAAGAAATAACTTTGCAAGCTGCTCTTATTGAAGTAAACAAATGCAGTTAATTTCACTTGCATTTCAGGCCCATCTACCCTCTTTCTCTTTCTCATTCGAATAATCAAAGCGAGAACGGACTTACGACAACCATTTGGTTGTCTAGGCACCAACTGTTTTGTGCTGCACAGTCGAGGCTGCCGCAGCTTCCACAGCGCCTTGACAAAGTTCGAGCCACTTAAGCGGGCTCGTCGCTTCATTTACCTTCTTTTTCGCACGAGAGCTCGTGCACATGAGATGCAAAACGAAGCCCGAAGCACTAGCAGCAGTGCTGAGCTGCAGCATTGGGAAAGCTATGCTAGCCTCGACAATGTAGCAGTAAATAGTTGACACGGAGTTGTCTCTCTAGGTACCTTGTTTCCATGAAGCCGGTCATGTAACCAGAAACTTGCTTTCGCAGGGATTTTAGTCGCCGGGAGGGATAGCCGCACACACCGACAAACTGCCCCTGGTACTAATAATATAAACAAGAACATTCTGATTGAAGGATAGAAGCCATTAGTATATCCTCCATTTCTGGCAATTAACTCACAACATACTGTAAAGGACTCATTCACAAAGATCTAGTTTCTGCAAGTTTCACGATTTGAAGAATATTGTGAAAAATATATCACACAAATATATTGCCCTATTATAACGAATACCATTATTTCTGATCTATAGGTTGTCCCCTACCCTAGGAACAGGCATTTTCACAAAAAACTTGGTGCATATAAGTCGCACCTTTGAATAAGTTGCACTTGTATGTATACACAGTCAGCAAGTCGAAACTACACTGATAAGAATGCACATGTGTACTGTGATCGTGCGATATGTGCAAGCGGAAGCAAGCTGCAATATTCTCGTTAACGAATCAAATAAGAGAAATAACTGCCGTGCCAAATCTGTGCAGTCAAGGTTCATACTTAAATAAAAATGCATATGAGTCACACCATTGTATAAGATGTCCCGACAGAAATTTAAAAAAAAAAAGCTACGACTTGTATACCAGAAAAATATGGCACATGGCATATCATTTCCCACTGGGGTATTTTGAGCCCGCGAGATACTTGTGAAACCCACACTCAGAAAAATATTGAGCCTGCAAAAATAAAGTTGTTTACGAAATGCCCTCTATTTAGAGAATCCTTTGTTAGGATCTTACCCTGTCTTTTGAGAAAAGTACCCTGTTGGTGCCCTCAGATCGACTCTTCTGGATCAGGTTGGCAAGTGCCGTAACACACATTTGGTTAAAATCTACACAAGAGAAGAAACATGGAGACATGTGTTGCCATGGTGCACATTCATTTTCATCAACTTTTTCTAATGTTCATCTAGACATGCGAATCAGTTCATACTACTGCACCAGTTTAATGTCTTGGTCTAAACAATGAATGATCAACACTGCAGCAAAGATTACGTTTATTATCGACCTGGAAATGCTTTGAAACTGTCTTTTGCCCGCCATGCAAGTCTTTTGCATTGCCTTCCCTAGGAGGTTAGTGTCTCTTATTCCCACTGTATGCTTGACTGCAGTAAACAGCAAAGTTGGTTCCTGAAGGGTACCTACACCAATTTTACGCAAGTCTGGTATCAAGCGCTTACGAACCGTTCTTCAGAAGTCACCTGAAAGTCTCATAGTGCCAGCAGACATTTCCTTAAGAGATAGTTTCCTCTGGAGTTTGAAGCAAAATGTAGGCTGCCAGTTTGAAACCGCCTCGGTGACCTCTACACAATGCGCCAGCCTACAAATCCCCAAGTCGTGGGTTCGAATCTTGGCCAATGTGTCCGTAATCTGACGGAAGTCTATTGCGAAGGAGGCATCATATAACTGGGATTTCGGTTGCATGTCAAAAGATCCCCAGGTGGTCGAGATTATTCTTCAGTCCTCCGCTGGGGAATTCCAGATGCCCGTCCTTGGTTTGGCAAGTAAAAACCCCCAAATTTGATTTAATTTGATAGGCTGCGATTTTGAGGCTTCTAAGATACCTATTTTCAAGTTTTGTAATTTCTATTTACTTCAAAGTTTTGTACTAACAATTCTGCAGATCATACACCCATATAAACACAAAAAAGCTTTAGAGGATGGATATGCTTGACGACTTACTGGACTGTTTCTTGGAAAAATTTTCAGTGCCGGCCGGATTGCACAGTTTGCATGAAAACGTGTAGTTGGTCATGAATGGGACACACTTCCTGTGAGGTAAGAAAAGCATGTTGTGACAAAACTGATGAAAGGTGCGGTGTAACAAAAACTGCCACAGTAAACAGAGATGGTCAAGGAATGGTTAGCCTACCCAAGAGGCAGAGAAAGGCAGGTGTCATGGAACCACTTGAGACAAGCAATACACTGAAGCTCCACGATGCTTAAGTTCCTTTCCTTTCCACTGCAAAACAAAAAGAAAAAAGTTGTCAGACATGCCTCTTGACTAGCAACAGCTGAAAGAAAGGAAGAATGTGATCGCGTCAAATATAGTATGAATAAATGCTTCAAAGGTATTTTGAGCAAATGTCCCTAAATGAAATTGAATTATACTTAGCTTTCCAGCTGAAACTGCCACTAGCACCACTCAAGAAATTATCCTTTTGTATCCTCCCTATCCACCAGAAGCAGCTCATCTGGGTACTAAGTCCATCACCTGTTCATCTCGCTAGGTTCAATTTCCTCCCTTGCCCGTTTCGATCTGGATGAGCATTGTACCGAAGTGCGGTCGTGCATCACTACTCCGTGGTGCACATTAAAGACGCCAGGCTAGCAGTGGTACTGTACAGGCTAAATTTCTTTATCGGCATCGTAAACCACAATCACCTTAAGCTGTCTAAACACAAACGTCTAATTTGTTTCTATTTTGTTCATCTTGCTATCAAGCAGTGAGAGATCCTACTCATGCCTCTCCTTCTGGTGTCCTTCACCTCGGTAACTTATCCACGATTTCCGTCCAATACAAGTGCTCAATCCTTATATGACAAGCGGCCGCACAAACCCTAGCCCTTTTGTTCTTGCAACGTACAGCTGCCTCGTCTTATATGGCCACCTGAAAGTATAGCCCAAAATGGCTCGTATGGTTATCCAATGGTTCCACTATCAGAAAGACATGGAAAACGTTGGCCATGATTCAGGTGCTTATTCGTGTTCCTATGTGGCCGTGGTTTTTTGCAGGGAGTGGATATACCGTAAAACCCCTAATGTGTGCGAGCCCTGATTTTCCAAATTTTTAGGGGGTGCAAATAATTCTATTGTCTAGAGAGGCAAATTCCAGCTTTTAGAATTCAAATACTTAATAGTTGCGAAAATGACCCTGCTGCCCAATTCGCAAAAAATCAGGGCCACGAAAATAAAATGTTTTACAGTATCGTTGGCAACCGGCATAGGAACTTCTGCAAAAGTTGCTGGCAGTGCTCTCTTTGGCTGGCTACAACTGTATCCGGCCACCGCACACTCACTGCGGCATTTCTGAAGTGAAGCACATGTGCCCATAATTAGTCAGTGGCTAGGGCACACGCTTCCATACACTTGGTTACATCATCATAGAAAGTTGCCAACTACAATAAATATAGGTTGCCACTCTAAGGGGGGCATTACCCTGCCGGCTGCTGTTTGGTTGACAGGGTATGAGGGGGTAACTTAGACGCTTCAGGGTTTCTCAGGTTTGCCCTTGCTATCGAAGTTATTGTCTCCCGCATTTCCGCCCAATTATTTTTTTGTCATGCCAGTGACTATAACTTCTGGAGCCTGATTTGCTTCCTCATTCATGGGCAATTTAAAGGCCTTGAAAAAAACTCCTCTAAAGATATCAACGAACCTGGGCACGCTGTGCATGTCAAGGGTCTAGGCTGGAAAAAAGAATCTATGAAATGGCCGGAATTTTTTTTTTCTTTTCAGTGTCTAGAGTGTTGTTTGATGGTGCTCCTGCAGAGCATTCAAGTGCCGTCCAAAGGCACTTTATGTCCGCATTCAAGTGCCGTCCAGTCGTGCAAATGCCGTGTTTTTGTGAAGAACGTCTTGCTTTAGGCATTCTGTGGCCAAAATTAGCATGCCTACTTCTGCTGTACATTTCTTTGTGTAAACTCTTATAATTATGCGTGTACTCAGATTTCATAAATCTTTCTTGACAACAAATAATATCTAGAAACCAAAGAATGACATCGCTGACTCATTTCAATAGCGTAATATGGTTAGCATGCCTGGCTAGTACTCTATAGTCTCACGAATATAAATGTTCAATACGCATGCCCTAAAAAAAGAAAAATATTTTTTTTTTAATGTTGTAGTGGTTGTTATTGCTGCTAGAGAACGTTAGACTTAAAATAAAATTTATTTTAAATCACAATTGCAACATTCCAGAGAGTGCCACTTAGGAAAACTTGAGAAGGGAGCAGCATACATAAGAAAGCATGCTGCTCACTCCTGTAGTGTGTCTCGCTCGCGCTTTATGTTAAAACAAATTGTCGGCAAGCGGTTCATGCAACACATGTCAGAATAAGCATGACTTGTGCTTAACACTTTTGGATGGCACTTGAAGGCGCAAGTAGAGTGCCGTAGGACGGCATTTCAACACTCTACAAGAGTGCCGTCAGACGGCACTCTAAAAACAGCATTGTTTTTTTTTTTTTTTTTTTTTTTTTTGCATCTGACGTCATTTCGTCAGCTTTCCCGCAACCACAAGAGAAGAGGGGCAGGAGGAGCCCTCTTCCCACCTGGACTCTCCTTTGTGTGTCCCAGACTCGCACAGACGTCACTATTCCTCCTCTAGAAGGTTATAGAAGATTAACCCGTCACCCAAAATTCGTAAAAAAAAGCTTTCCCCTCTCTCTCTTCAGTTGTGGTGCGAAATGGATGATGTGATGACAGTGTATGGCATGCAATGTGGTTATATCCAGCCAATGGGGGGGAAATTGGGTTGTGTGTATGTTTACACAGCCTAGAACTTGGTCTGCCTCAACGGGCGACGGGACTCCCAGCTGTAGATGAGAAATTTAGGCAGTGCAGTACAACCGCTAGCCTGGGGGTCTTTAACGTGCCAACCGCAAAGTAGATCCGCTCATTTTCATCACCAAATGCGCGTCAAATGCACTGAATCTTTAAAGGGGCCCTCCGGAGCGTTCTGCGATGGTCTATTTATGGCGGTAACTCAATTTACAGGCCCTAAGGATCCTAAAAATCATAAAATTACGGTCACGCGCGGCGGATTTCCCTACTAAAATTGCTATCAAAGTCCCCGGCACGCCCCCCTTTCTGAGATGACCCCGGAAAACGGGAGGGGCATCTCTTTACGCGTCAGCCAATAGCAAGCGAAGGATCCCGGCGTCACTGCGCGTCACCAACGCCGCCGACCACCGACCCGCGGAGGAATCTCGAACACGCGCGGACAGTCGTCAAGGAACCCAGACTTTGTGCTCGGCATTCGTCGTTCGTCGCACCGCACCGTCGCGCTGCTACTGCAATACGCAGTCGCATCCCACAGATGACAAGGAAAAGTTTGACTCGTTGACGTGGAAGGATCGCAAAGCTGGCTTTGGAGTCGGGATCCACGGGAAGAAGGAACACGTGTCCCGCAAACGCACGCCTGCAGACGCCCCAGGAAGCAGACGAGCCGACGCATCACACCCTAGCAACAAGCTTGCGGGGAGAAAACATAGTTCGCTGGTTTTGGAGCGATAATGGCGGACTATGTTTCCCGCACCACAATCAGTTTACGTTTTTCTCAAACTCTAATTTACAACAAGCTTAAAAAGTGTTGAAATAATAACGTTCGCATTCACCGCGAGATGCAGCATTTCCATCGGTCAAATTTTAGCGATGGGCAGGGAATGAGGCATTGTCTTCCAAGAGAAAATAGTCCCGATATATTTCCTCTCCCACCTGCTTAATAAACGGTTTTGTAATCTAAAACTTTGTATACATATTAACTTGCACCTACTACGCAATATAACAACGTAAACAGACGATCGCAGAAAGCTCCGGAGGGCCCCTTTAAGCAACCGCGTTCGCAACCGCTTCGCGACTGCGGTTTAACCGCCAGTGTGTATGAGGCATTATGCCGGCTGCCGGCATAATATAGAAGAATCCGCGTCCTCTGTTGTACTCACATAAGTCGGTGCTATTATGTCACAGCGGCACCACCGGCCTTCTGGTATGGGCTACCCGCCTTACTACGGTACCGCAACTAATTCAATAAATATTACATTACATTACATTACATTACATTACATTAGCACAAACAAAATATCGAAACCCGGCGTCACCCGCCGACCGTAATTGGTGGACACCACCCTTAAGACTCCTCTCACCAGTAGCACTGCTGGTCCGAGCTCCGCGACGACGTAGCCGAGCTGAGCTTGGAACCGTCCGTCCCGTCCGGCGCACCGCCGACCAGAGAAGACGGTTGCTGGTCGCTGCTCGTCGTCGTCTCTGAAGACGTCGGGTCTTCCAGGTTGGACTCTTCCTCCATATTGATGTCCCTGGCGCACTGGTTCTCTGTCTCGGTGCTGCTCGCCTCGTCCGCTATCTCGTCTCCTTTCATCGTGCCCTGGGAGTTGTCGTCGGTGTCCGCGTTTTCGGGCCCTTTGAACGCTGACAGCTCCGAGCCCTGGATGTCCGTGCCTGTTGCGGACGGAGTGTGTCCCGTGGGGTCCGCGATCTCTCTGACTTGATCCGAGTAGCCTCCCTTGTCCCTGTTTGGGGGCCAATTGTGTTTATTAGACGCCTCGCCGGCAGCGGCTGTCGCGTAAACGGCGCGAAAGGTTATGCTTACCGAGAACCCCCGGTGTCGACGAACGCCATTTTTGACGCTATCGGACTGGTGGCGCCACCTCTGGAATGTTGGGAGGTACTACGTCTTTCGGGAAATAGATTTGCACGTCGATTGTTCATGCTTTTAAGTTGACTTGTTCAGTAAAGACGTGTAAATTTAATTTCACGGGTTATGAACGTTGCTTTGCGTTAAACTGAGCAAAGAAGGTCAAGGTTAAAGTGGAAAATGTTTTTATCACTTACCATGAAAATGTAAATCCTGGGACCAGCTGCACTTCCTAGACAACCCACCTCACCTGTACATATAAGTTTCATTCTCATGCATTATCTACTTGTTAACATACACCTGTACATATAAGTTCCATTCACATGCATTCTCTAGTTGTTAACATACAGCTAAGGAGGCAGCCAACACTTGTATGCACGGGCTTTTGTCCTTTGGCTGCCTTAGGCTCTCGGCTGTATGGAAGTAGAGCCAGTAAACTCCTTTGAACCTTTGAGCTCGTGATTCAAGTATGGAACCATATTTTTTTCATTTTTTATTTAGACTTACATCTTCCCAACGCAACACGGTATCCAACCATAGGAGCGAAATTGTATGCAGTGAAGTGCGCTAACAGCGTTCGCTGGACTAGGCAGGCCATCCGGCGCAATGCAAACCGAGCAAAGGTAATCCGAAAACGTCTTCTGTTCCATAGAAATAAAAGACATCAGGATTACTGCAACAACTTTCACTATAATCTATCAAGATAGCCTAATAGTTTTAATTAACTTTCAAAATCAGTTTCGGTTTTCCACAGATGTCTAACGCCGAAAGGGGGCGCTTCCCACGTTTTTCTTGTTTCGTGTTTGTTTTGTTGACGTTAATCGCTTGTCCCTTGGTCCATCAGGATAAACGAACGAAGCAACACTTCGCGTTATGCGGTCCGGAATATGGAGTTTATTAGTTATATCTAGCTTTGCGCAGGCTTCTTTACACCAATGCTAAGTGCAAATATCATATGTGATGCGCGCAAAGCGTTCTGGATGTGGCTACTTTGCTTCGCAGTCTGCGTCGCTGGTAAGCAAATATCTTTTGACAGGCTTAATTACTAAGCAATCGAGCCAGTTTAAGCTTGAAATATATCTAAATGAATCTCCCAATCGCATTATGATTCTTGCATACGATCAACACCAGCATTGCAAAGCAATTGTTCCCCGCACATGAGAGCTTCCCCGCATCGTTATGCTGCCGTAGGTGGAGCCAGCTTTACAGAGCAAACCGATTTGGGGGGGTGACCTAGAATTAGTGAGATTTTCACCCTGATAAGGCTTTACTGCGTTCCTGCATTCATGTCACGTGGAAAATAAGTAGCGCGACTTCGCGCTCCCTGACTTGTTGTCCGCAGCCGGTTTTGCACGTCCAGCTCCAGATCTGTCAGCTGAAACGGAGTTGGAATAATCTTGTCCATTGTAATGTCATGCTGTTTTGCCCGTCTCCGCGCCTGGGAGTGAGGACGTGTACGTATATTGACATTGGGGTGCCTCCACTAAGGAGCGGAGTCTACGATAAATAAAAATTCGCTTTCTGTTTGCTTTTTTTGTTTTTTTTTCACCCTTTAAACCAGTAAAATTAAGAAGAAAACACTTACCGCTAAAATTAACGTCAATTCGGATGTTAAAAAGTAAACTCAACTATTCAAGGTCACGACCACACTCCCCCCCCCCCCCCCCCCCAAGAAAAAAACAACAAGAAACAAACAAACAAACAAACAAAAAGACATCAAGAATATTTCGCGTTGGTCCCGCTTTAGCGTTGGGTCGGCGGTCCTAGGGAGATATCGCTTCGGTGCCTTGCTAACCAAGGGTAATTGACACTGCGAGCTAGTCGTCAACGTTGATTCAGAAAAAAAATGAATCAATATTGCTTTATTTCTTCGTGACGACTATTGTGTCTGGAACGTGCCTCCGACTGTTTACCGCGTCCTAAAAAGTGGTCCCTCGATTTCCGCTTGATGGCGTCACAGAAATATCGTGTTGTCGCCGGCCACGATGAATGTGGCAGACGCCTGTTCTGCTATAGGCCTCCTGCGTTGCCACGGGGGCGCTGCGAAAAGATACTCGTTGGGACCTGTTTTGGGTAGTACAAACTTGGACGTTTCAAACAGCAACACAGGTAGAAGCGTGCCTGGCTTCCTCTCTCTCTCTCCCTTTCGCCCTTTTCAGTGCCAGGTAATAGATGTTACGGAGGCAACGTGAGCGTATACAGGATGTTCCCATGATTCGTTGCGCGGTTCGCGCGCTGCCTTTCGAGATTTTCGCAAAAGGTGCGTCGACGGCGCGCAGAGCTGGGCGTCCGGGCGTCCCCCGGGCGTCCCTCCCCGGCGGGCTCTTCGTCGGTGGTGGTGGTGGTGGGCTCGGCGGTCGAGGAGCGCCAGAACCTGAGCTGCTACTCGTGCAACTCGCAGCTGGAAGGAGAGGGCTGTCGCTTTCCGCACAACATTAGCCGGGCCATGATTCGCACCTGCCCGGCCTCGCACCGCTACTGCACCGTGAGTGGAGCCGCCTTGTTTCGCTCCGATCAGAACCGCCCAATCAGGTCGAGAAGAAAAAGTAATCTCCTTCAAACCTTCCAACGGCGTCTTTTTTTTTTTTTTTTTTTGCACCGGAGTTGTTAAAGGGGCTGTGCAACAGTTCCAGTGCTTCGCTTAAATAATTTGGGAGTTCCTGTCTGAACCTTTCTAAAGCAAAGAACAAAAAAAAAAAAAACACTTTTGCATGCATGTCCTAGTTTTTATTTTATAAAATGGACAAAGACTGTCGTTTTCGGCACCTCTCAACTCTTTCACCACCTTCCGAGTCACGTGCGCGGTGACGTCAATGGGGGTCGCGCGGGGTTCCGGTGAAGCTCTCTCTCTAGACATCAGCGAGCAGCGAGAACTCATCCGCTCGCGACCGCGTGACCTCGTGCTGGCGGGTGCAGTGCGAACAATATGGTGAAAGGAGGGAAGTCTCATCCGGGTCCGGTCATACCCGTCCGGCTCTGCCTCCCTCCCCCTCCGGCTTCTGGCGGCTGTTCGCCGTAGCAGACAGAGCTGACGGTTTTGTGGACCTTGCATAGATGGTGCCACTAAAACTCCGTATAATAAAAGTTTTATCGATGATACCAGCTTTTCGACGCATTTATCTGTGTTAGAACGACAAGATTTATAGAAAGGTTACCTTTTATCGAGCAGGTATTCGCACAACTTGCTATCTTTCTACAAGATTCCCCATTGACGTCACGCCACGTGTTTCTCATGGCCGCCACTCGCGGGTGCAGGTCGGGGAATATTCTAATTTTTGCCTCGCGATTACGCGGCGGAATCGCAACATTTCGAAAAAAGGAGGTATGTTTTCTGTCATTTGTGACAAGATGAACAATGCCAAATGTACAAGATGCCAATTCTTTCAAGGTTAAAATCGCTTTACAGCTCTTTTAAGGGCTAGTTTCCCCAGGATCGTGTCCGGTACCAAACAAATGTCGACACCCGTGGCCGACACAACACTCTGGTTGCCGCCGTCGCTCATAGATGGCGGCAACGTACATTTCTTCGGAGGAAGAAGAGCGGGAACGGAACGAGCGGCGATGTGCGCAGTTGCGCGAATGGTTTCGCAACCTCCGCGAGGTCGCTATCGCCTAAAGTTACACTGCGTCGAGCGCTTCAGATCCCCTTCTGAAATAAGAGCAGATCGCTCGCCTGAAAGCCACCGCCGAGAACAGAAGCTACAGCTCCGCTGCTCTTCCGTCTTCACCAGAGTGGAAAGCAAAGAGGTTATGAGTACTAGGAGTACGTTGCAATATTGGTGAAGCCTAGTCATAAAAAGTTTAAACGATATTGTGCCCAACGTGATGGCGATTGGTGCGCGTGACATGTCACGTGTGAGATGGATGGTTGATTGTAGAAGGACTCCTTGCAGGCTTGCGCGCGCTCCGTCCGTTGGGTTTTATCAGATCGGAGGATAGACGAAGGCTAGCCACGGTCTCGTGATGTGGTCATGTTGGGCTGATAAGTGAGGAGAGTAAGGAGCAAAATGAGAAAGAGGCGAGGCGTCAAGGGAGCATGGGCATGGCTTGTGGAGGCTACGCGGCTGACGTCATGCTCTCTCCTATCCTTCTACCCACCTTGGTGGAAAGGCTGGAAGTATTTTTATAGACCTTTTCACCTTTGTAGTTACCTGACCGTTGGACAGAGGGCGCTGAACAACGCGGTGCCGTAGGATGGCGTCAAGTTACTTGGTTTCGGTTTCAGCGGTCTCGCGGCTGTGTTGGTGTGTTATGTCGCTTTCGCTTATAGTTTTGTGATATAAATGTATCCATTCTGGTACAGAAGGGATAAATGTATCCCTTCTAGTACAGAAAGGATACATTTATATGTATGCCTTGATAACTACAACGTAGTCACGAGCCTAAATTGTGGACGTTTTTACGAACTCTTTCATTTGATTATGTTCTTTGTTCGGCCATGTTCGGCGGCGAAACGACTGAAACCAAGCCGGGGGAGGATTACGGCCGGGGGAGGATTACGGATGTCCATGGCCGTACTGGTCGTAACCGTTGATACTAGTTTCTATAAAAATAAACGATTGAAGAGGGTAATGCACAGAGGCACAGTGAAAAATCAGGTCGACGGCATTGCTACCGATGTGCTGAATCGCAGAAAACAGAAGAACTCGCAAGTTTAGTGCTCACTGTTCGGTTATCGAGGACACCAACGTTTTGTGAAAATTGTTACCTGAGAAACCCGCCTGTAATGACGCATAGAATGAGGAAAAAAGGCGTGATTTTGTTTTTATTGGTTTCTTTGAAGAAATTAAGTACTCGAGAGATGTTTCGGCGATCCATGCTAGGCCAAGTAGACAATTTCTGCAACCATCAACCCTGCTAAAGTGTTAATTAAAAGCCTTTCAACATGTTGACCTTATGAAACTATTTGTTGTAGTGTCATTTCCTTACAGCGCTTTGAGAATATCAGCTAGGTAAGGGACAAACACGCCAAATGAAGTTTCGTATAATTTTCGAAATAAAATAAAATGACGTAAGAGAATTGACTTCCAGCTTGGCTCAAGTCAAATGCAAGGCCCTACTTTATGGCAGGCACGTAGCCAGGGGCGGGGGGCCATGGGGCCCGGCCCCCCCCCCCCCCCCCGAAATGTTCCATATTGCTAGGGCCTCCTCTCCCCCCTCCCCCCCATCCCCTCATACAGCATTTTTTCATAAGCCCCCCCCCCCCCCCCCCCCCCCCCCCCGAATCAAAATTCTGGCTACGTGCCTGCTTTATGGATTTGGGTAGACAGATATTTATTTGTTTGAACAGATATGATTTTTACTTTCAGGGGCGCCAGGAGTTAATCCGTCATCGACAACGCTGCACTCGAGTAATTTAGATGCAGACGGCTGCTTTTCAGAGTCACATATTGCGTGCCTCGGGCGCTTTTGTCAGGCACTCACAAGCTGTCTCTGAGACGTTTTTCACCCGGGGAGCCCAGCCCTTTGTGACTAAATAAATTAATTGAATTGAATATCTTAAGAAAACTGAATTACTGCAAATATTAGAACGAGCTCAGTGTATAGTTTCGTTAAATTCATAAATAAACAGAACAAGCGAATGTTCATATCGCAAAAATGATTCTATTTATATAATCAAAAGCAACTGTTCTGGATTGCTTATGAAGGCAGAGCACGATTCTTTGAAGAAACAGACATAGTGGCTCCTTGCGTTGACTATAGTCAACGCAAGGAGTCGAAGCGCAAAGTATATTTATGATGACGCATTTTTGATTTTAAGAAGGCAAATATATATATTTGCCTTCTTCTTAAGGATCAAAAATGCGCCATCATAAATATACTTTGCGCTTCTTATTGCACCACTACAACTTCACCACTATTCGTGCTCTCATAAATAATTGGCCTCTCAACCTTCTTGTGTCTTAGAGTCATCTACATACTCAATGTGCGCCAGTGCTAACGCCGATTCCTTTCTTCTTGCGCATCCGGTACGCCAGCGGGGAAAACAGTCAAAACTTGTTATAAAATCAAATGTTGAATTTGTGCACATAATGATGGCATGCTGTTAGGTAGTACAAATAAGTATCAGATGACACTTCACAAAGCAAGGCCAAAAATCGCGGTAAAACGTGACGAAAAACACGAATATAACGCCTTCGCCAGGGCGCGGAGAGAAATAACAGCGATAAGTTGAAGCAACCAAGCAAGCCACGTGATTCCAAGCTGGCAGCCAACGTTAGTGGCAGTGCCCATGCGAAGGAGGGTGAAAATGTCTATAGGTCCTCTCTCATGCCACGGGCTCCGTTCCAAAATATACTCGATCGGACTCCGAAGTGAAGGTTTCGCACTGTGGCGTTTCAAAACTACTCCCGCTACGACGCATAGATTACCTCATCGTGGAACTCCCGCGCATACCTCGGCAAACCTCACTCATGAGGGCCCTCACTCACCCTCACTCACCCTCATCCTCACAGGTGAGGTGAGGGTGAGTGAGTTTCTGAATCAGGAAAATTCATGAGTGTGAGGGTGAGTGAGGGTGAGTGAGGGTGAGTGAGGGCCGTGAGGGCCGTGAGGGCTGTGAGGGCGGTGAGGGCCGTGAGGGCGGTGAGGGCCGTGAGGGCCGTGAGGGTGGTGAGGGCCGTGAGGGCGGTGAGGGCCGTGAGGGCGGTGAGGGCCGTGAGGGCCGTGAGGGTGGTGAGGGCCGTGAGGGCGGTGAGGGCCGTGAGGGCCGTGAGGGCGGTGAGGGCCGTGAGGGCCGTGAGGGTGGTGAGGGCCGTGAGGGCGGTGAGGGCCGTGAGGGCGGTGAGGGCGGTGAGGGCCGTGAGGGCCGTGAGGGCCGTGAGGGCCGTGAGGGCCGTGAGGGCCGTGAGGGCCGTGAGGGCCATGCAACTCGGAGCAATTCGAATGCGTTTGAAGCGGCTGCATCCAACCAGGGACGCAAAATTTTCACGTGATACCTCGTGCCGGTGATGATGACACCGAAAGACTTGGTTCTGGTTTGAAATCGATCGTTTTTTTGGAAATAAACTGTTTCAGAAAGGTGCATTAGTATTCTTAATGAGATTTAAATGCATAAAAACACGCTTATAACGCGTAATTGTGTCTAAATAGTGCAAGGAAAATAAAATGTTATGATGACGATGGCAAATTGCAGCAATTCGTTGCTGCGTGTGATCGCGGGCGGCCCGTGTTGCTGGTGTTGCGACGTAAAGTTTCTGGGCGAAATTGCCCCATCTGAAGCTGGCCTGAGTGGCGTGAGGGCCATCAGTGCGTGAGGGGCGTGAGGGGTGTGAGGGCCGCAAGGGCGGTGAGGCGCGTGAGGGCGGTGAGTGGCGTGAGGGCGGTGAGGGCTATGAGTGCGTGAGGGCCGTGAGGGCCGTGAGGGCGGTGAGGGCCGTGAAGGCGGTGAGTGGCGTGAGGGCCATGAGTGATTGAGGGGCGTGAGGGCCGTGAGGGCGGTGAGTGCGTGAGGGCCGTGAGGTTCAGTGAGGGTGAGTGAAGGGCTGAAGGTGAGTGTGACTGTGAGGGTGAGGGTGAGTGAGGGGCTGAAGGTGAGTGTAGCTGTGAGGGTGAGGCTGAGTGAGGGGCTTAGGTAAGTGTGGCTGTGAGGGTGAGGGTGAGTGAGGGCGACCTAAAATGCCGACCTCTGCTCCCGCGGAGGGGGAGTTCCACGATTTGGAACTCCCGTCATTTGAACCGTCACCTAGATTTTCGTTTCAAGACTGTGTTGCATAAAGCATTGCCATAGAGTAAAGTGCTTGACTATAGAGTACGGTAAAGCTCCATCTAGACGCTGTGCTAGGAAACATGTATATTCCGAACACCAACTGCCACGACCCCCCCCCCCCTCTCTCTCTCTCTCACTCACCTTAAAGTCACTGGATCATGGGAAAGTAGCGCCATTGCCTTCCCTACGTGCTAGCCGGACACAAACGGATACTAACATACAGACGACCGAAACCTCGCAAGGCGATTGGCTAATCGGCCTACGTTGCCATGGAAATCGCCATCTTGGTCCATTTAAATCTTCGGAGTTTCCAGGGGGTCGTTCTAAACCAGTCGCGCCAAGATCACCATGGAGCATCATCGTACTGGAAGCGTTCCTCGCCAATATAAGAGTCTTTGGCACTTCGTATGCAATCAACTTTTTAATCAGGCCCATCTCCATGGATCTCATACAATTATATTGTTCTTCTTGCGCATTTCAAGACAGTAAACTTATTTTCCAGTGCCTCCAAGCACCGACACAGCATCTGGTAGTGGTGCGAACGTGTACGCCTGTTTCGCCGGTGTGTGGTTAGCAAAATCTCGGTATACAAAAAACTACTCAACAAAGCTACCCGTCACCAGCGAATCTAGATAGGCTCACCAAGAACGGAGGGGTCAAGGAGAAATTGCTCATTTCATGGACAAAGATGGCGACCACACGCGGAGCTTGGCGTTACTTTCCCAGGATCCAGTGACTTTAACTCACCTCAGACCGCCATCCGACGTTTGAAGCACCATTTAGGTTGTCCAGTTGCAAAACTTTACATTTCATAGAGTACAGTAAAACACCATCTAGACTCCGGGCGTCGGGATGGTGTTGCCAGCTGAAGGACGACAGTCGCAATGCATGGTAATCGCGAAAATCGAAAACTCTCAGCAAAATAAGCAGTAATAATTTAACGTTGTAAAGTAAATTCTGAGCTATTCTAACGCTTATAAAAAGCAATATACTCTTTACGCTTCATTACCTTCCCTTCTGTCGAAATCGAGGAAATCTGGTGGTTAGGCGGTTTCGTTTTCCCGGGGCTCGCCCATCAAAACCATAGCGCGAAGCTGCTTATCTGGTTTAGTTTTGCGTTGACGCGAGGCCGTACACCTGCGCGCTATGCAAAACGAAAACTTCGAAAGGAACGCGAATATCTTTCCACCGGTAAGTACGGGGATTGGTCCTTAGGGCGACCATGAAATCTAGCGAATAAGACGCAAAGCTAGTTGGTAACCATGTGTGGGACTCCAAAGCTCTGCCTCCATGCTCCGCCGCTTGCGGCAGCCAGAATGCATGGGAAAATGGCGGACCTTCTCCTCTAGAGTTAGTATATATGAACTCTATGTTGCAGGTGACCCGCGTGGACTACAGCGTGGACCCCGGCAGCGCCTCGCTGGCGTTCTCCATCGAGCGCAGCTGCAGCGAGCAGTGCACCACCGAGTGCGTGGCCGTCGGGGAGAGGCTCCGGCTCTACCTGTGCCGCTCCTGCTGCCAGGGGAGCCTCTGCAACACGGGAAACGGGACACGCTGGTCGCTGCCCACCTGGCCGCTTCTCGTCGCCATGGCAGCCGCTTCCTTTGTGCCACCGTGGGGCTGCCATCGCGTTTGGGCAGCCAAACTTGTCGCGTGAATGTACAGGGTGCGACTCGAGTATCATCAAAAAAAGAAAGAAGCGATCTCCTTTTTTTTTTTGTTTGTGATGTTGCTGTTGTTAAGGGTGTTATCTAAACTGCGGTGAAATGTGCTTGCTGAAAATTAACTCGCCACTTTATTCCGAGAAAAAACATATTTTGTTTTTAAGTTTTTATGTCACAAAATAAACATTCACCGAAGGGGGAAAAGTGGAGTGATATTTAGGTCGCCAGACACATTTTGAATTATACCCGGCCACAGCGGGCGCTCCATAGAGTTATTATAATGTACGCTAGAGGTTCAACTGGCGCTAGTGTCTATGCGACTTCCGTGACGCAAATTGAAGCAGACAGCAACAAGTCTACTTTTGCGGTGCTCCTGTGCATTCCTATGGGAAAACGCGCGTGCATTTTGTCTTTTCGCCGGAAAATAACATGGAACACTTTGGTTATTTCGGTCGTACCGAATAGTATGTGTCTTAATTAACATTGTAAAAGTGTAATTGCTTTAGTTTGCGCATTTTTCTTCATTAGTGAGCGATGTTTAACTTCGCTGCATTTCAGTCCCAAACGTGTGTTCCGCAGCAGGTGTGTAAAAACAAGCGACGATTCAAAGCAAAATTACGATCGAAACGAATATAGAGTGTGTTCAAGGCTCGCCAGCATTCCGGTGACGCTTGTATATTGGTAATATGCCAGTCCTGTCACCATATGAAAATGATCCCGTCGTGCATGAGCGGATAAAAACCTTCAACGTAGAGAATAAAGTCCGTGGGATATGAAAGGTGTCTCTTCGTATTGTTTTCTCTGCCGGGCAGCTTTTATCGCGCACTTCTTCTCAAAGATGTCTAGCGCGGGGGTGATATTTTGAACGTAGAACACGCAGCTTCGCTCAGGACAGAAAGAATAAAGCGGTACTCACTTATTTAAAATCGGAATAGATTACGTGGCCTTCAATTTATTTTGATCGTATACATGCACTGCAAGTTACTGATCCGGTGTTGCTGCGTAATTCTTGCCGCCGGTTTTGATTTTTCAGATGTCCTTCGTTCGTTTGGCACGTATATCCCCCATGCTGGAAATCGCCGACGCCGCGTTCGCGCTAACAGTGTCCGACAGTGCACATAAATACACGTACGAAGCTGTTTTAGCACCGCTTTTAATGCGATGAATTTGAAAGAAAAACACCGTAACTGACCAATTATTTCGTCGGCCTGACTGAGAAATGTTCCAAGCTACCTAGAACGTACGAATTATTCGGGATATTTGCTCTTATGATCGAGCGCAGTGAGAAAATGCACTCACTTTTTCCCATAGAAATGCATTACCGGAAGTCAATTTTCGACTGGTTGCTGTCTGCTTCAATTTGCGTCAGCACACTAGCGCCACTTGAACCTCTAGCGTACATTATAATAACTCTATGGGGCGCTCCGAGCCATCCGAGCCAACCCAGTTCTGAGAGCGAGACTCTACACTCTCCACGTGTCACGGCGCTTTCCCTCGAAGGTCACAGAGACTGTGACACACATGCTATCGCCGACAACGTGACTAAACTGAACCGAACGTCACAGGAATCCAGTACCGTACGTACTGCTGCCATATGCCGAGGGCCCGTGAAGCTGCATGGTGCAGCTTTTTTCCTCGGTCTCCCTCCGTCATACGTGTTTTTGACGGAAAATAACATTATAAACATTATTATACACGTAAACGACGTTCCAGAAACGCGGTACTTTTTTTCTTTTTTTTTTTTAGAAAAAACGGGAACAGAAACCACTAAAAAAATAATAAAAACTCTGCTTTTTCAGTTGTATCCGAATCTAGTGCGCATTTCGGTTTTTTTTTTTTTTTTTTTTTTATTACCAACTATTTCAACCTCTGACTTCAAGAGATGAAATTCTGTCCAAAAAAGTGTAAAAACAAAACAGAAAAAAAACGTACAAATGTAATTGTGGTGATACGACACGTAGTTGGATGTAGATATTTTCACTCGCTCGTTTTATTTTATTTGCAGATTATCTAGCACCCTGTTTTAATACTCCAATGCGACGAGAAGCTCCACTCCCATCTTAAAAATGTGCTGGAAAACTCCTTCCTTCCGAACCACTGGACACCTGTAATGAGAACTCGTTTCCAAGATTGAGAAGAAACGAGAAACGAGCTCCTACTTTGGAGCAACATGTACCACTGCAGGAAACTCACTCGGCTTTGGATTGCCTCCGGTGGCTCGTCCGCTGCGACGAAACACGCTTCTATTTGCGCTTGTGTACGTGTACTGCATCAGGTGTACTTGCGCTTATGCTTTGCACGCATATGCACCCCGCTCCGTGGCGCCTAACTGCGCAGCAGGTATAGATGAAAATAGTAAATAAATACCTCAAAATTAGTGTTGTAAGGTAAACACGGCGCCTATTTGTGAAAGTTCATTTTGGAGAATTCGATGCCTCTGTAAGACTGCAGGTTCACGAGTTTGCGGCCGACTCCTTGCGTTCCAGTGTACGACGCACTGCTCGGGCCTCGGTTGCCATGGCAGCCATATCGTCGTAAACCGTCATATGCGATCGTGATACTGTCGGTCCCACTCAAACGTAAATGTCTGGACCCGTTTTAGGCTGGTAAAATGCACTGTTCACAGATACGTAGTGTCCATGCAAAGTTCGAAAGGAACCAATGCGCCGATGTCGTCGGCGCGCTGACTGTAGCGCCTAGTGTGCATCAGTGGTCCACATTGTTATTAAAAGCGCCCACTCCTTTGATGCGCTTTCGTTTAGCCTGCAGTGGTTTGCCGCGTGTTCCTGGATACGCAGGGATTATGCTATGCCAGATCGTTATATCCGTAATCGTAAAAACCTAACTAATTCATATATATATATATATATTTTTTTTTTTTTTTTTTTGCAGTAGGTTCTGCTAAATGGGTATTGACTTCACGCGATGGCGTGCCAACGAACAAGCCGCGTTTATTAACTAGGTTCGTACATTTAAAAGTTATACCCGACTTGAGGTCACAAGCCGGCACGTTCCCACGGCGACTTATACGCGCTGATAACATGGTCGCCACAGTGTAACAGCTACCAACAGATTTGGCCTAAACAACGACGTCTCTGCGGCGAATGGAAAATACGCAGTTTTCCCCACGCCATCCGAAGCCTATTGATGCGTTTTATTTGTGCTGATAGCGGCAGGTATGCAAGTTCAGGAAGCATGTACGTCATTTTGATTTTGGAAAGAAAAAAAAACACAAAAAAAACGCGGTGGCATTGAATTGTCGCGTTCGCTTGTGACATGCGTCTTGCGAGTTCCCGCTACAACGACTGTCGACGTAGACCGGGGCAGAAATTCATAACGTGGAACGAATGCCATCCCTTTATTCGCCTTGAGGCCGTTACGAATACAAACAAATTGTCCCCTCTCCGTCAGATAGTGCGATGCACTGATCTCTGCTTAGAAAACAGAGATAACCATAGTCGGTTACCATGTTAAGAAAGCAATGAAAGCTCGGCATACAACACAGTAAAGAATTTAGGAGAAAAAAAAACAAACAAAAAAACTCGCCTTTCTTTTTTGGCCACCACGGGTTCTTAAGAACATTTTTATGTAAAAAAAGGCAAACCTCAATTTATTTTTTGTTATGAAAGAACGGTTGGCGAAATGGCGATTCCCTTCGTCTGTGACGTCAACTCCTTCTTTAACGTTCTTTAACGTTAAATTTGTTTGAGACGCTAGATATTTTTGCCAAACCCCCTCCCCCCTACCCTGATTCATAAATTCACCTATCCAGCATACGCTCCTTGCATTTCCTCGGGCTCTGTCTGCGCAAGCAGCAAACCGTTATTATGTGAGGCAGAAAACTTACGCTGGAGGAGGAGAGTCTACTGCAATAACCGGTCACCGACTAAAGTACACAGGTCATTTGTGCGCGGTAAAGTTGGGATAAGGCGCCCAGCAATGTCTAAGTGCGAAGCAGTTTTTGACAGACGAGTCGCGTACAATGCATTCTATTTCTGTACACCTGTACAGCTTTGCTGTGTGCTTTTCGTGGCATCGTCCGCTAAATTCTTTCTTGCTCGGTGCGGCACCTTGTACCATTCTACAGTGGTTACCACCATGCGAGTAACGCCGGAGGCTGGTTTAACCGACTGTTTCACTTGTCGCGTGTTGTCCTGTCGGCCAAAACCCCTAAAGTTGATCTTGAAAACATTTAACTACTCCTCAAACAAAAGCAACATCTGTCGGGTCCCCTTATTCCTCGGCTCATAACGTAGAGAGATGTAAATTATCCAACTAGCGGCCATACTTCTGGCTGCAAGCTTTCTTTTTATCCTTCTGTTTCCTAGGATAGGAAGTAGTTATCAGGCGGTTCTTCCTTTCTGCGTCGAAAACGTGACCAATGGAAATAAACACGTAAGTGTCGCCTAATGCCGATTCCTTTCTTCAGAGTGACCCAGATGAAAAATGAATAGTTTGTCTGGATCATCCTGATAAACCCGAAGGTCACACAATGTGTCGTGCATGCATTATGCGTGTGGCAGGATTTGTTATGCTTGATTACGGGATGCTTTGAGTGGTTTCGCATGCATGGCACTCATGACACACTCATTCACTCTCGGATTTATCAAAATAACCGAGGCAAGTTTAAACTTATTCGGGACAAAAGACGTCATGAGATTACGTGGGGAGCTGCGGTTCATCATCTGTAAGTAAGCTGCGCTCGTCGACAGTTGCCGCTGGCTCCCCGGAGTCAACGTAGTCCAGCTGCTAGCGCTCGTTTTCGCTCCCTCCTACAGGCCGTTTGCGCTTACTCTCCTGCCAGCCACCTATTAGGCATATCCGGTATAGGCGACGAAAAAATAGTAAAACAATTTTCTGAAAAAAGTAAAACAAAAAGAAATCTGAGGACACCTAAGCACTTATGAGTTGTGAATGCGAAAGCATTAATATCGTTCTTCCGCTCCCCTAGTTCGTCTGCGGCGTACAGGCGTGGACTGCCACGTTTCGCTACTGTC